GGGGGGGCGGGGGGGCATTGTCAACATGCAAAGAAGGTGGGAGATGGGAATTGGGTGAGCTTGGGACCCTTCGCCATCCCTTCGCCCTACCCATGCTTTTCTCTCCTGCTTTCGGGATCCGGGGACCTGGCTCCATCAGCACCTTGGACAGCGCCAAGGCAGGTCTAACACTCCTGATCCGAAGAGGATGTTGGTGACTAGGGGCCCGGCTACCCTTTCCAATTAAAACTGGTTAGAAACCAGCTGTAGAGTTGTTACACATTTTCAAGTCCTAACTTGAGAGCTGGTTGGCTCTTTTTATAGCTGGGGAGTCATTTTTATCATGTGCTAATTATTTTGCTCGTGTAGTCGGTCTAAATGTATTGTGCCATCAACTAGTTAATTGTGTGACAACTATTTTGCCTTCACGGTCAGTTTTACTTTGCATGTGTGGCTGGTATATTGTGTGATATGTTGCAGAGGACTGGCTTACTGAGCTGGGAAGAGAAGCTGCAGCTGTTCAATCAGATCTGGAGGGATTTGCAAGGAACAGAGGAAGTCTGAATGGGTGTATGTATGGAGAGAGGAGAAGAAAAGAGGGACAGTGCAAATACAGCCAGCATTTACCTCAGCATGCTTTGATGAAGGAACTGTTTCCCCTTTCCTAAGAGTTTGTTCCCTCTGTCAAACTGAGCCTTGGACACATAGCATATTGACATCTGTGTAATCAGCCTTTACACTGGTGCATGATGTGCAGTGTTACACTGGGGTAACTAACTTGAATCAGTGTAGAATTACCCTGGGAAAAATCAGGGCATATAATTAAACAGGTGCAAGTTACAGTGCTGCAAGCATGGATGTGCAGAGCTGTCCCAAGAAAGTCTTTGGCCAGAGGTTTGGAGGCTTTCCTGCCACCTCATGGGCAGGAGCTGTACTACTGTATACTATCCTGGAATACTTGGTTCTCTCTCTGCTCTGGATCCTGGTGTAAGGTCAGCACACAAAACCATTGTAAGTTATGCCAATGTAAAAGTGCCATGTGTCCAGGCCCAAAAGGTCTTTCTGATTAGTCAGTTTCCCTAGTTTGGCTTAATGGTAAAACTGCTCACTGTATTACAGAAAGAAAATGGGCAACATGAAAACATAGTGACTGGCTGGAGAAGTAGCACAAACTTTCTGTGAAGGTACTATGCAATAATACTTCTCATGAGGAGTGGCTTCATGGAGCCCTTGCGAAGACATGTTATAGATCATGAGTTCCCACGGAAATAGCCTGGAGGTTCACATAGGAGAAAATCAGACAACTAATATATATAACATAATACTGAATATATAATATGTAATGTTAAAGGTTGATCTGGGTGAACAATTACTGTGTCAATGCAAATGACATCAGCAGTACATAATGACAGGAATTCAATTACATCAGTATGATGTGACATATATATTGCTTTGATTATAAATACATTCTAGCTGAAATGCTGAAAAACCTAACTCTTTTCTATTTCAGACAGACAGACAGACAGCAGCTGTATGTTTCCTGACAGCTAAATCACTGTAAATAATAGGAGAGGACATCATTCTAACTCAGCCATTTAAAAGTTCTTAAAGCAGATGCTCCTCACAAGTGCATCTCTTGTTCCATAGGTCTAACACTATGGCCCTGAATGTGTGGAATGCCATGTAATTGAGGAGAATTTAAATACATTGTTTTTGCTGTTGAACAAATAACCCTGCTGTGTGCCTTCAAAATATAGCAGCAATGATGTTAGTGCTGTACCAAAACAAAGAGAAACTATAACTGTCCATTGTATAGTCACACATAATATCTACATATATTAGAGGTGTGTTCATGAATATTTACAGTATTACATAATGATTGTTTAACTTTCTAACCGTTTGCTAACTCTGTATGTAGGTCTGACAATTTTCAGTGAATGTTGCTGCTGTTCAATACTTTTTATTCCTAGTGTTCAAAATTCTGGTTTTCTGCCTCATTCAATCCACACTATCTATCCTCCATAGCAAATATATTCATCATTTATTCACCATTCTTCACAGTGACTAAGAAAAATAGATCATATTAGGTTAACATGTAATGCTGCTCAAAGCAGGTTAGCATCTTAACTGGTATTCTGAAGTTTGTGCATTTGCTACCTTAACTTTCTTTTAATCAATTTTTGTGTGTCAGATTCTGAGATTGTATGTTATAATTTGTGTGTTCTCCAGTTCTGTGCCTGATGTTGTATAAAATGCTTGGTTCTCCATAAATAGTGTTTGCATTTTTGAGAGGGTCAGAAAGATATCACTCTAGTGAAGTAAATTCAGTAGTTGAGTGCAATAGGATGGAGTTTGACTATAGATGCTTTATATAAAATATCTCTCAAACAGTTATTATGGATCTAGATAACTTGTTGTAAATGTTATTTCAAAAACAGCAAAGTAGCTAATTAAATTGACCTCCATTATGGTCTAGTATATTCAAATATCAGGAAACATGCAGTTATTATTGTTATTATAGTAATTGGGAGGGTTCTAACTTTTCATGATCTTATTCATTAGGTTTTCCACAATCTCATATACAGTATATATTTATTAAGCTCCTAATCAAAACTATAGGTTAGTTTAAATTTGGTTGAAACCATTAGGTGAAATGGAGACTTTTCAATTTAGACAATGCAAGTGTCTGTAAGTGACAATTTGCCTGTCATCTGAGCAGGAAAAGCCTGTATTTTAGAGGGCTGAGGCACCTCCCACTTTCAGTAAAGGATCCTAATATTCAGAGCTTCTCTTCTTTCTCTACAGTATTAGAGGAATCACACCCTGTAAGAATAGGAAACTTTCTAAAGCCTGTTTCTGGGTAAATTTAGCTTCTTAAAGAGCTTGGGTTTGTGCATCTTTTTCCTGTCATATTTTTCTGTGTCTCACAGTGACTCTTCAAGATCATGGGGAGCATTTAAAAAAAGGTGGGTGTTATGGCCTTTCTCTCAGGGATAAAGGAACTCAGTTCTCCCTACATACTTGCACATCCTTTCTCCTTTTACAGCAGTAGATACAGGTGTGCTAAGTGGCTTTGGCTTTTGTATCTTTGAATATAGTTCCTGGGTGATATCAGCTGTTCCTTACAACAAAGTG